TTTTTTTTTGGTCTTTTTGTGACAGGGTCTCCCTTTAGATCCAGCTGTCCTGGAACTCACTATGTAGACCAGGCTGGCCTTGAACTCACTAATTTCTTTTAACTTTTGTTGCAGTTTTTTTTTTTTAACAAACTGTTGAAACATGCTCTTTGATTCCCTTGTATAGTACAGAGTTTACTAGATTTTCACAGAAAAGAGCAGCTCCTGATTTCCCAGTCTTTTAGCTGGTATTAGGTCAGTGTTTAGTAGTTGCTATAGGAGAATGGCTGCCAGCCAAGCTTCCCTCTCCACTGGGCCTCCTTGGGAGCCTGTGGGAGGAGGCAGGAAGCTTTACAAGTATAAAATTTTATATTTGGAACAGACATTTAATTAAGCAGTTCATTATATTTTTTAAAAGCTAGTGAAATCTGCATGAACCTACATGAAAGAGAAAGAAAATAATTAACTTCAGCAACACATTAAATGAAATAGAGTATTTATCTCCATTTCCTTTGTTTTTTAGGAGCAGGCTGCCCTCTGGGGGTTAGCAGCATGCCATCAAGAAGGCTTTTAATGCGTTTGGCATTAACAACAAGCTTCAATTATATTCCTCTGTGTTCTTTGATTGCATCACCCTGAAATGTGGTATTTACAGGACCACTTTATGATAACTCCATGAAAACAAATAGCAGGCTCTGTAGGCAAACTTGATAGTTGTTAATGTCACTCTATTTTATGAGTCATTAGCAAATAGGAGATTGATTTCTTAAATTTTTGACGTTTTGGTAAAACCAGGTTTCAGGGACCAAGAGCTTAACTTTCACTTTGTTTTTTGTTTTTAACAGAATATTGGAAGTAGCCAGATGTTCTCAATTAACAGATGTGGGCTTTACGACTCTGGCCAGGGTAAGTGTTTTCCTTGGGTTCCACATGTTTGTTCCCATAGGTTTTCTTTGGGATTTTTACTTCAGAAGTAGCAGCAAAGGGAGCAGAGGTGAGAGAGGGAGAGCTCTTGGAGCTCGTCTTCCCAAGCCTTCTCATACTATAGCCACAGACCTGTTGCTGCCAGCTTGCTTTGCTTCCAGAGCAGACATGTGTTAGAAAACATGACACTCCCTGGTGAGACTTGAGTTCTCCATAGTCTTGTTAAAATGATGATTTAAATTAAACAGGGACTTCCTGATGCTTTGTAAAAGAAACTTACTATTCTGGCATGGGACTGGTGAGTGAGAGTTAATGTTGAAAGAGATACAGGCCCAGTTTAAATGTTAAACTTAAAGCTTTGTGAATAACTGTAATAGCATTTAAATTGCATTGCCTTTGACTAATGTTAAGGAACATGGAGAATGTCATTTCAGGCAGATCTATGGACTACTGATTTGGGTAAATGCCAGCACACCTAACTAAAGGAGGGGATAAAAACTCTCTCCCAAAGAAACAATTTTCATTGAATTGTTTCTGATTGAAAAGATCTCCGTATTAGCCCAGTATTAATACTCAGCAATTATAAAATTGAAATTATAAAATGTTCAGTGTTTAAGTATGAAATCATTGATAAATTGCACTGTCATCAAACACTTCTAAAAGTTAATACTCGGGGGCTGGAGAAAGATCTCTGTATAAATATGAAATAATTGATAAATTTCACAGTCATCAAACTCTTTTAAAAGTTAATACTTGGGGGCTGGAGAGATGGCTCAGCAGTTAAGAACATAGACTGTTCTTGCAGAAGACCTGGGTTCAAATCCCAGCACCCGGTGGCAGCTAACAACTGTCCGTAACTCCAGTTCCAGGGGATCCAACAGCCTCTTCTGTCCTCGGGGCATTGCACGACACAGGTGTACTTACCTACATTCAGGCAATACAGATAAACTAAAAATAATAAATAAAGTATTTTTCTTAAAAAAAGTTAATACTTGGGCTGGAGAGATGGCTCTGTGGTTAAGAGCACTGGCTGCTCTTGCAGAAGACCTGGGTTCAGTTCCCAGCACCCACAAGGTAGCTAACAACCCCATAACTCCAGTTCCAGGGGATCCGACTTCATCTTCAGACCTCCGCAGACATTGCACACACAGGTGCACTTACATACTTGCAGGCAAAGCACTCTTACACATAAAATAAAAATAAGTTTAAAAAATTTTTAAATTAATACAGAATTATTTGGTGTTATACTTTGTAGAACTGCCATGAGCTTGAAAAGATGGACCTAGAAGAATGTGTTCAGGTAAGATTGTGTTTTTATTCACAAGTCCCCTTATGTAGGACACTGAAGTGCCTGGCAGTGTACATTGTCCATTTACTGAAGTATCTTCCAGGCCCACTGCAGAGCACTGTTTGTGTTTTATTTGTTAAAGAACTGTGAAAATGCGACTGGAGAGATGACTTGGGTTAAGAGCATTGGCTATTGTTCTTTTAATTTTATGTGTGTGGATGAATTGCCTTCATGTATATAAGTGCACCTTTGTCATGCAATGCCTGCGGAGCTTAGAAGATGGTCTCAGATCCTCTGGAAATGGAGTTATAATTGGTTGTTAGCTGCCATTTGTGTGCTGGGAATCGAACCCAGGTCCTCCATGAGAGCAGTCAGTGTGCTTCACCACTGAGCCATCTCTGAGCACTGACTATTTTTCCAGAGGACCAGGGTTCGGTTGCTAGCTCCCAGGGAGATCCAGCACCCTCTCCTGGCCTCCACAGGTACTGCATACATAGGCTACACTTACATGCAGGTAAAGCACTCATACACATTTTAAAACAAAAACTATGAAAATACATGAGAGGTAATTCGGTAGGTAAAGATGCGTTCTCCCAAGTCTGACAGGCTGAGTTCAGTCCCTGAAACCGACATGGTGGAAGGAGAGAATCAAATCCCGAAAGTTTTCCAGACCTTCATCCACGTGCTGTGGCATGTGCACACTCTTATTTCTTGTACATGCCTGAGTATCCCTTTTATCGTTTCTAATATTAGTCCTTCTAAGTACACGTTTACTTACTATACACACCATTTCTCAGCTCTGAAGTGGTGTATAATAAAAATAGTTACGAGTTTGCAAAGAAGCACTGGTTTACTTCTAGTTCTAAGATAAGGTAGCATGAAAGACCACTCTTCCTTCCAGAATGTCCATGTCTTCCCAGGTTTCAGAAGGGCCTGTCTGCTCCCCTTGTGGATATAACTGATTCTCCTATTGTCATGCTGTGTGATGGTATGCCTTACAAAAAAGAAATAGGCCAATATCTTAAATACCTAAATTTAAGGGTGCTTTGACATTAATTTTTTTATGATTCACATTCTGATTCTTCTCTCTGATGGTTTTAAAGTCTACTGGATAAAGGTTCCAAAGAGATAGGTTTTGATTTGTTTTAAAAACGTAACAAGCTGGGTATGGCAGCACATGCCTTTAATTCCAGCACTGAGGAGGCAGAGGCAGGCAGATCTCTGTAAGATTACAAGACCAGCCTGGCCTACATAGCAAGTCCAGGCCAACTACAAGGAAACCTTCTATCAAACCCCACATCCCCTCGAAATCGGAACAGAATGTGAAACGATATCTTAAATCCAGAAAGGGGTAAAGGCTTTCCAGTGTGCATACCCTCAGGTCATACATACACCTCAGGAACCCCTCAGTTACTTCGGTAAGTAAGCTCAATAAATTCATGGTTCCCTAGTAAAACTTTAAGCAAATATTGGCTTGAAACTAGAACCTTAAAAGGGAGCAAGCATCCCCAGGAAAAGAAGTCTCACAACAGATGAAAAATTTATCTGTTAATGCTATTATGTCTCATAATTACTTTAGGGGAAAAAAAGAAAGAAAATGAGAATGTAAAAGGTGTTAAGAGGATATGGGAATGGAGATATTTTCCAAAATAAGGAAAAAGTGATGAATATCTGTGTAGGTTTGTTATGATGTATAAAGGATAAGACAAAAATAATATACACATTATCTTAAAATGTCTATGGTCACATTTTAGTCAACTAGTTTAAGGAACAAAATATGTATCTAGTCAAGGTTTATCTGATAATATTTGGTTTTTTACCCAAGCCTACATAGTACATGATAATTAAAAGCACCAGACTGAGCTGGGCGTGATGGCACACACCTTTAATCCCAGCACTCAGGAGGCAGAGGCAGGCAGATCTCTGTGAGTTCAAGGCCAGCCTTGTCTACATAGTGAGTTCCAGGACAACTGGGGCTACAGGAAGACCCTGTCTCAAAAAGACCAAAAAAAAAAAAAAAAAGAACCAGACTGGTAGAACTAACTTTATTGGATGTTTAACAACCATAGTTTGAGGCCTATATTAATGTGATCAGAGGGACTTAAAGGACAGTTTTTGCCCTTTGCCCTGCAAGGTCCACTAAGTTCTAGGGGACTATGGAACATCTCTCAAAATGTCCTGTAACTGTGATGAGTCACCTGTCCTCTTGTTCAGGGAAGACATGGGTTCTTAAAGGCCTGGCAATTTTTTTTTTTAGTTTTTTTATTTTGTCTTTTTGAGACAGGGTCTCCCTGTAGCCCCAGCTGGCCTGAAACTCACAGAGATCCACCTGCCTCTGGCTCCCAAATGCTGGGATTAAAGACGTGGCCACCATGCCTGGCAGTTTAGACAAATCTTATAGAAATAAAGTTTTAAAAATATTCCTGAAAGCAAGAAAGAGAAAGATATCTAAGGTAGACCCTAATGAGGCACTTAAGAGCATCAAATGCCTTTGAAATTTAATCTCTATATCTTATTATTTATGTGTATGTGTGTTTGAGTGTATGTACACATGGGTATGGTGAGTGCCCACAGAGACCAGAAGAGGGCAGCGCCTGCAGCTAGAGTTATGGGTGTTTATGAGTCACCTGACAGGAGTGCTGGGGTCCAAATTCTGATCCTCACGATAGAGCAGAAAGCATTCTTAATATCTGAGCCATCTCTTGAGGTCCCAGATTCCTTTTTTTATTATTATCTTTTATTTTACATGTATGAGTATTTTGGCTGCATGTAATGCCCAAAGAGGCCAAAAGAGGATCCTGGGTCTCCTAGAACTAGAGTTATAAATGGTTGCTAGCCACCATGTGGGTGATAAGAACCTAACCCCAGTCTGCTGTAAGAGCAGCCAGGGTTCTTAACTGCTGAGCCACCTCTCCACCCCCATGAATTTTGTATTTTAAAATGATTAATGGATTTTTGTTGTTGTTATTTGAGACAGGGTCTCACTATGTAATCCTGACTGTCCTGGAACTCACTGTGTGAACCAGGCTAGCTTTGAACTCTGCCTGCCTCTGCCTCCTAAGTCTTGGGATTAAAGGGTTGCACCACCATACCCCATGATCTCTATTAAAATTTTTTAAAAGGAGGAATTTTAAACAAAGGTGTCTAGAAATGAAGACTGGAAAGGCCTAGATGCATTTGAGTGTCATCTGAGTGGTTCTTACAGACTCACAGACCTTATGGGACTTATCTGAAGGGTTTGTTAATTGATGATATCTAAACTAGAAGTGTAGTTGAGTGGAGTATAACCCATGGGATTATACCTGAAATAAAGGTATAATTTTAGCTAAAACAAAGTTAACATTTCTTTCAGATAACGGATAGCACATTAATCCAGCTTTCTATACACTGTCCTCGACTTCAAGTATTGGTGAGTTTTGTTTTTCAATCTTATGAGTCAGGATCTCCCTATCACCCCAGCTGGCCTAGAACTCACTATGTAGACCAGGCTAGCCTTGAACTCACAGAGACTGGGATTAAAGGCCTGCACCACCATGTCCGCCTTGTTTTGTATTGTTTTGAGGCAGAGTCTCACTGTGTAGTCCTGACTAGCCTACAACTCTGTATGTAGACAAACTGGCCTCGAAGTTAAGATCGGCCTGCCTCTTTCTCTGGAGTGCTGGGATTAAAGGCATGCACCATCACACCTGACAGGGTCTCCCTGTAGCCCCAGCTGGCCTGGAACTCATTATGTAGACCAGGCTGGCCTCGAACTCACAGAGATCTGCCTGCCTCTGCCTCCTGAGTGCTGGGATTGAAGGCTTGTGCCACCATGCCTGGTCTCATACATAATTTTTAAGGCTGTCTTTTGTTTATGAAATATTTCACAATCATCCCATGAATTTACAAATAAATTTAGAAATAAAAAAAGCCATAAATGCCAGAAGCCCATCAACTCTTCACTTTTATATTCTTCAGTTCATCTTGATGGAACGGTGGCTTTGTAATATCAGAATCAACCAGAAGGTCTGATTTCACACGAGCCTGTGTACTAGAGGAACATCAGAAGATATTTCACTAACTTTCTTTGCTCTTTTTGGTTACAGAGTCTGTCTCATTGTGAGCTGATCACAGATGATGGAATTCGTCACCTAGGGAATGGGGCCTGTGCCCATGACCAGCTGGAGGTGATTGAGCTGGACAACTGCCCACTAATCACTGATGCATCCCTGGAGCACTTGAAGAGCTGTCACAGCCTTGAGCGGATAGAACTCTATGACTGCCAGCAAATCACACGGGCTGGAATCAAGAGACTCAGGGTAAAGACCTGCATCACTCTCCAGCTCTGCCGTTTCTAGCACCCTCCCTTCCCCTTTCTTTTTCTTCCTCTCCTTTTCTTTTTTTCAGTTTTAGATTTCTGTGCTTATTTTTACTTACTTATTTGGGTATTAGCAAGGTGGAAAAAAACAGACAGCAACCAAACCTCAGTGTAAATAGCTTTTATACTGTGGTTCCAGATGGAAACTTAGTAGAAAAGTAACCACTGATAGGAAGGAAAAGTTTATGAAGTTTATTCCATGGTATCCAGGTCTTAACCACAACCCTAGAGCTCAAACAAATTAGAACACATGTCTACTTGGAAGGCAGAGTCAGGTGGATGTCTGTGAGTTTGAGGCCAGCCTGGTATACATAGTGAGTTCCAGGCCAGCTGGGGATAACACAAAAAAAGAAAAAAGAAAGAATACATGCCAGATTTTGGTTCTAAAGGAAATAAAATGTTGGGGGGAGGGGTGAAGAGATGGCTCAGTGGTTAAGAGCACTGGCTGCTCTTGCAGAGGACCTGGGTTCAGTTCCCAGCACATGTCAGCTAACAACTCTCTGTAACTCCAGTTCCAGAGGATTTACTTACATAACATATATGTAAGTAAAATACTCATGCACATAAAATTTTTTTAATATTTTATTTATTATTTTTATTTTATGTGTATGAGTGTTATGCCTGCATGTAGGTAAGTGCACCCATGTCGTGCAATGCCTACGGAGGACAGAAGAGGCTGTAGGATCCCCTGGGACTGTAGTTACAGACAGTTGTTAGCTGCCATGTGGGTGCTGGGATTCAAACCCAGGTCTTCTGCAAGAACAGCCAGTGTTCTTATCAGCTGAGCTTCAGCCCCGACATAAAATTTTTTTAATTAAGACAAAAAAAATGTTTGGCAGAAAGCAGTGTCCACACTGGTAGTTGGGAGTCTAAGAGGAGAATCAATTGCAGTGCCAGCCTGGGCTACAGAGTGAGTTCAAGGTCAGCAGGGTCAACTTGGTGAGACCCTGTCCCAAAATAAAAAGTAAGGGGGCTGGAGAGATGTCTCAGTGGTCAAGGGCACTGGGCTGCTCTTGCAGAGGGTTCAGTTCCCAGCGCCCACATGGTGGCTAACAAATACCTATAATCCCAGTTCCAGAGGTGCTGGCACCGTCTTCTGACCTCTGTGGGCATTGTATGACATGTGTGCACTTAATGCACACAGGCAAAACACTCATACACATAAAATAAAAAGTGGATAAATAAAAAAGAGAGGGCTAGGAATGTAGTTTTATGGATAGAGGGCTTACACAGAATCTGTAAGGCCCTATGTCCAGTTCTCAGTACCAGAGATAGGTCGGAGGGCGGGGGATTAATTGATTGAAACATCTCCACAACTCTGCCTCTTTAGTTAAGTCCTAAAAAGTCTCTTTAAAAAATCTGAAACAGCCTTTAACAAATAAATGAATACTGTACCAGTTCTTAAGTTCTCATTGGTTTTAGCTCCTCCTCTCTCTTAAGAGAAAGAGGGCTAAGAACATACCTCGAGTAGGAGAGACAGAGAAGTCACAGGCTGACTAGAGCCTCTTGATTGGTTGATTGGTTAATTGGTTGGTTGGTATTCTGAGAACCAGGGTCTCATGTAGCCTGGACTGGCCTCAAACTTATAGCTATATATAGTAATTAGGATAACTTTGAACTCCTGATTTTTCCTGCCTCAACTCTTAATCCTAGAGTTACAGGTGTATACCACCATTCCTGGCATATAGCCTACTATATATTGTTCCTGGACCTGATTGTCAGGAATCTCTTCCTCTCTGAGCACTTTTACACTTCTAATTTAGCTATTAGGTGGGTGTCTAGAGAAGATAAGATCTTGCAGAACAGAATCCCCATCTTTGTACCTCTTTCATTTAATAAGAAACACGTTGTCAGGGCTGGAGAGATGACTCAGAAGTTAAAAACACTTGACTGTTCTTGCAGAAGACCCGGGTTCCAATCCCAGCACCCACATGGCAGCTAACAACTGTCTGTAACTCCAGTTCCAGGGGATCCTACAGCCTCTTCTGTCCTCCGTGGGCATTGCACAATACGGGTGCACTTACCTGCATGCAGGCAATACAGGCATACACATAAAATAAAAATAATAAATGGCCAGGCGTGGTGGTGCATGCCTTTAATCCCAGCACTTGGGAGGCAGAGGCAGGTGGATCTTTGTGAGTTCAAGGAGACCCTGTCTCAAAAAGACTAAATAAATAAATTAATTAATAAATTAATAAATAAATATAAATAAATATTTTTTAAAAGAAACACATTGTCTAAACATAGTAGGCATTCAGAAATAGTAAAGACTAAAAGCATGTTGTAAAAAAAAGTATTTTAAACTTACATAGCTTCTTCCAGCTATGAGATTCTAATTGAGAATCTCTTGGGGACAAGAAAAGAAATTAGAAATACACCTCTTCCCTCCCACCCCAGTTTTATTATTGTAGAACTAAGTACCAAAGTTCACATGAGTTGATTTAATCATTTGAACAACATAGAACAGAATAGAACGTAGAACACCCTGAATAGTACTCAGCATACCCTGCTTTACTGTCCATTCAGCCCCTCGATTTCTCTGAGAAGCAACATTGCTGTTTCAGCTCTCTCTTAGTAATGTTTCTGTCTTGTTTCAGACCCATTTACCCAATATTAAAGTCCACGCCTACTTCGCACCCGTCACTCCACCCCCATCAGTAGGGGGCAGCAGACAGCGCTTCTGCAGATGCTGCATCATCCTATGACAATGGAGGTGGTCAACCTTGGTGAACTGAGTATTTAATGACACTTCTAGTTACCGTGGAGTCTCTCCAGTGGAAGCGACCCCAGCATTCTGGGCAAGGGTTACAAAGCAAGGGCAGTGTCCAGATCCCCAGAGTCACACATGCACAGGCATACACACCCTCACCCCTATCCATCATAGTTCTGTGACCATGGGACTGAAGTTCATCCTGGCTTTATCAAGTGGATTGGTAAAACTTAACTATTCCTGTTGGACATGCCCAGAAGAAATCATAGGCCATGGCAGAGGGAGGGGACATTCCAGCAAAACGCAGTGTTACTGGTACTGTGGTTTCTTTCTTTTGTTAAGGGGTTTCTTTGGGGAATTTTAAACAGTAACTGCAATCCTCCAGGGTGAAAGATAGCATGGGAAAATAATTTATGATGTGTCCAGGGACCAGAAAGAAAATTTCTTTGCATTCTAGAAATGGTAGCCATCCATTGCAAGATGCCTACACAGCTTCTGTGTCACCTTGTTTCCATTACAACATACTGAGCATGCTCACAAAGAAGGCTCATCCAGTCGGCTGATGTTTTAGTATTTGGCTCAGAGGTTTCCTAAATGGCTGCATTGAAATCGCTGGGGTCCAAATATGATTACTTATTTACTCAAGCTATCACTGTCTGTAGCTCACTGTACACCTGTCTCCATTCACTGTTGCTCCTGCTGCTCTCGCTCAGTTTCTCACTGGTTCATAGTCTTCTACTTACACTCAGTTGTTACTCTTGCTGATGTGTTTAAAGTTTGCATTTTGGATGATTAGTTGGGGTTACCAAACATTTTTAAAAGAAACATTATCAATAAATATTTTTTTAATCTAAATTTTACCATTAGGGGACCCTGCCTGAATCTTTGCCAATCTGGAAGGAAACTAACAAAAGCAAGAATGTTATGAGAAGAAACAGTTATTTTGATGAAAGCAAACTTTTGGTTTCTATTGTATCTTGTAATACATGAATCATATGCACGATGTGCTCAGTATTCACCCTGTACATTTTTCTTCTGTCAAACTCCATGAGCTGTTTAAGGAAAGAGAAGTACATTATTAGTAAGAGTAGATGGCAAATCTTCTAACCAAGCTTCAAAGTCCCCAGTACCCAAACTCAGGCACAAATGACTAGTATTGTTATGTGTTGACAGGACTGTGGTATGATCAGTGGCATCTCTGACCTGTGTCTGTGAGGTTACTTGCTTTATCAAGAATGCTGCTGGAGGAACTATAGTCAGTTTCTTTATTTTCCCCCATTTGAGTCCATCCAGGATACAAGCATGGCCCCATAGCAGTTGGCTGTCCATGTCAGTGTTAACAGGCTCTATCTAATCTTGGCACCTTAAAAGACCCAAACCTGTCTGTGCTGCAGACTCCTCTGATATGAAGACAGCCAGGTAGAGGCATTGGGATAGCAGAAGAGAGTCTTGAAAAGGATTAGGGGCTCAGTGTCTCTGCCAAGCCTGAGGAAAGGGGTTTAGTGCCTATGGTTCAGAGTCTAAGAAGAAGCAGTTCCTTCCAAAAAAAAATCTTAAAACCTCATAGAAAATGAGAGGGAAAAACAGGAGTTTCTAAAGCAGAAAATTACTAAACCCCAATGTTAGAGGCCTTGTGTGATTTTATTAGTGTGATTTGGAGGAAGGGGGCTTTTAGGAGATGAATGTGTAAGCTGCCATGATCCTATATTACCTTCCATATAACCCAGACTCCTAAAAGAACTGTTTTGATGCTACAGGTACTGGTTCTACCAGCATATGTAAGAATAAAGTCTGATGTATTTCTCCATTGATGTAGAAAGCAATCAGATGAAAGAGTCTTAGACAGCTATACCACCCAGTTTATTTATAGTATTAAATTTATTTTCAGTCCTATTTTATTATGCCCCTTTGAAAACTCAAATTTCTTATGTTTTTCATTCCTCCTTCTCTTTATTCTGTTTCCAAATAACCATAGAAATAGTGACTCATCCTGCTTCACCTGACAGGAACATGGACACATGAGCACCCCTTTTTTTTTTTTTTGAGGGGAGACAAAGTCTTATTCTTGCTGGCCTCAAATTTGTGGTTATCCTCCTGCCTCAGTCTCCCAAATGTTAGGATTACAAGTGTGAACCACCACACCAGACTCAATATATTCTTTTTTTTATTATTATTATTTTTATTTTATGTGTATGAGTGCTATGCCTGCATGTAGATAAGTGCATCCATGTCATGCAATGCCCAAGGAAGACAGAAGAGACTGTTGGATCCCCTGGAACTGGAGTTATGGACAGTTGTTAGCTGCCATGTGGGTGCTGGGATTCGAATCTGGGTCTTCTGCAAGAACAGTCAGTGTTCTTAACAGCTGAGCCATCTCTCCAGCCCCCTCAATATATTCTTAAAGTAAGATTTCTGATAATACACATAGGAATACACACACATATACATACATACACTTCCAGATGTGTTTAGTTTAGATCCCAGATCATTCAAACAAAACCACAAGAAATATTGAGGAGTCATCAGCTAAATGTCTAATTTGACAATAAAACCTGGACTGATGAATGAATGTGGATTTGAACTGCCCTAGTCTAGGCCATTCAGTTTCCTTTCCTTCTTGAAAGTTTCAAGGACTCTGTTAATCAGCAGTCCATCAGAAGTCTTGAAAATGCTGTTTCTCTTCCCACATGCAGGTTCTTTGGATTTGTGCTGGCAATTCCTGCTATTAAGCCTTTCTGGGCCAAAACAATCAAAAGGCAGAGTGTGTATGGGGGGGTGGCACTGGCTTGCATATGGTCAGGGACAAGACATGTTCTTTCTCAAAAACTTCAGGTCCGTGTGGCATGGAGGAAAATAGAGTTTGTTTGTTTGTTTTAATTATGTTGATTTGCATCCTACACCAGTTTATGAATACATTAAGAAGACTACGTGAAGCACTCTGGAGGCAGTAGAAGGTGATCTCTGTGAGTTCAAGGTTAGCCTGGTCTACATAGTGTGTACCAGGCCAGCTGGGGGCTGGGCTACAAGGAAACCCTGTCTCAAAAAGTCCAAAAAATAGAAGACTACGTTATTTCAGTCAGGTGGAAAGAGTTTTGACATCTGAATATTAAGTGCTTCCTAGCTGAGCATATGGGATACTTTTGAATTGGTTGAATTTGGGGTTTTTGTTTTGTTTTCAGGGCTGGAGACAGAATCCAGGACCTCCCACATGTTAGATAAACACTCTACCACTGAGCCTTATCTCCAGCCCTGGTACTTCTTAGCATAGGAAAAAGTCTCCTTAGAAAAAGCCCATTGTGGGCACTGAGGTGACTCAGCAACTAGAAGCACTTGCCATCAGAAGCCTGATAGCCTGAATTTGATCCCCAGAATCCACATAAAGTTGGATGTGGTGGCTGCATCTGTAATCCCAGCCCTCTGGTAAGGTGTGAGGTAGAGACAGAAGAATTGCCCAGAAGCTTCAGCACCAGCTAGCTTGGAGTACACAGCATTGGCAGAAACGAGAGACTTGCTTCAACAAGGTAGAAGGAAGAGAACCAGCTCCAGAAAGTTGTCCTTTGACCTTCATGCACATGTTACATAAAAATAAAATTTAGGGCCAGTGAGATAGCTTAGCAGGTAAAAGTACCTGCCTCTAAGCTTGATGACCTCAGTTCAATCCTTGAAATCCGTGTAATAGAAGGAGGGTATCAACTCCCACAAGGTGTCCACTGACCTCCACACACATGCTATGGAACATGTATGATCACACATAAATTCTTTTAATAAAATTTTAAAATAAATTTTTATAAACAACTTATTAGACTGGACGTGGTGGTACATGCCTTTAATCCCAGCACTTTGGGAGGCAGAGGCAGGCAGATCTCTGTGAGTTCAAGGCCAGCCTGGTCTACATAGTGAGTTCCAGGACAGCTGGGGCTACAGGGAGACCCTGTCCCAAAAAGACCAAAAACAACTTACTAGGAACCAGGTGTCATGTTATGTACCTGTAATCCCAACACTAAGGAGTCAAAGACAGGAGGATTACTACAGGTCCCAGGCCAGCCTGGGCTACATAGTATTGGGCCACCTGGGGATACAAAGTAAAACTCCATAAAAAAAGGAAAACAACCAGGCATGGTGGTGCACGCCTTTAATCCCAGCACTCTGGAGGCAGAGGCAGGCAGATCTCTGTGAGTTCAAGGCCAGCCTGGTCTACATAATGAGTTCTAGGACAGCTGGGGCTACAAGGAGACCCTGTCTCAAAAAGACCAAGGGGAAAAAAAAAGGCTATTGGTCCATTTGTCCAATTTTACCCCAGCCCAGAATATGCCTTTTACAATGGAAAATGAATGCAGAGTAACAGAAGAGATTTAGAACTAGAAAGGCCTCGTAGGTGTGATGGCATGTGCCTATAATCTCAACACTGGGAGGCCGAGCTGGAAGTCAGCCTGGGCTGCGTATCAAAACCCTGTTTCAAAAAGCCAAATAAAAGCAAGGCCCATTCGAAGCTATTGCCATAAGCCTACAGGTGGCCAGTAGGAAATTTTAAAGTACCTCTGGAGAACATTTTTGAACAAGCAGGTAGTGTTTCCAAACAACATTCCCCTGTATCATCATCACATTCTACTGTCTGCTACATCGTTTTATAGGCCTGCTTGAGGTGATTTCACTGAATTGCTGATTTTTCCTATATCTTTCCTTGCCCTCTATTTAAAGCGTCTATCTCACCCCCAATAACACTGCAGGTTTATTGTCAGGTGTGTCCAAAACAAGCATCTTGCAGTCCTTTCTGTGATCAAGGCAAACTGTCACAGGCAGCCTTGAATTCAGGTACTGTCAAGTGGTTTGGACCATTTCTTGGTGGTCTTCGATGTTTGCTGTTTGGATTTGGGTTGCATTTAAAATCCAACTGCTAGCTATGAAGAATAAAGGGACCTGACCAGCTTTTCCTCAGTATTTGGAATATGAAAGCACACCTATGTTTTAAAAATGTAATTTACTCTGTTCTCTCACCTTTAGTGGATATAAAAATATTCCCTAAATAGTTTGTATAAATTTCCAGTCAGATTTCTAAATCCACTACATTGATTTAGCAGATATGTAAGTCAGAAATGTTTCAAAAATTTCAGAGGGAAACCTGATGAATAATTAATTTATCATGCTTTTTGGGAGGTTTTTCTATACTATTTGAATTGCTGCTTTTAGCTATAGGGCCACAGAAATCCAATCCTTTCATTTCAGTTATCTTGTTAACTGTGTTTTGGTTTTGACAAAGTCGGGGATGGAACCTGTCTTGGCCTAATGTTAGGAAGTGTGAGAGTTGTCACTGGAAAGTAGATAGTTTCCTGCCTATCTGCATGGGCAGCGTCAACTTAGGTGACAGTGTTGTTGAGAGAATAGAACATGCTGGATCATGGTTGAGCTTTGGGCTTTTAAAGTTTATTGTTCTGTGGACCAGTGAGATAACTCAGTGGATAAGGGTGCTTGCCACACAAAGTTGGCTGTGACGGTCAGGCTGCACCTACCAGTAGCCATCAGTGAGAGGAAGAAGGCAAAACAAGCTCTATTCTGCCTTTTCCCTCCTGTGTGTTTTCTAGGTGGGTTTCTAGCCCTGTTCCTGCTGACAGACCAGTGAATTGGCCAAGTCTTGTTTGAGAAGAGGTGTAGAAGGTTTGGCTAGAGGTCTTGAGGTAGTAAACCCTTATGGTAACCTTATGTCAAAGAATTCTAAAACAGAAAGATGAGGCAAAATAAGGGCCCAGACCTCCTCACCTTTATTTTTATCTTAAATTTGCATTGTAAGATTGAAAGATATAGAATGCTTTATAAGACTTTATCAATAGGGTATGATTAGCTCAGCTGATCAGAGAATAAAATTTGGCTGAAGCTGTTCTATCCAAATGTTCTGACTTCACTTGTTCTCCAGCAAAGAACATAGGCTGCTTAAGCACCACCTGCTCTGGCCTTGCCTTCTTTCTTTGACCTGCCAGAATCCAGCATAGGAGGCAAGTGAGTTTTATGTGAAGGGCTTCTGCAGCTTCTCAAGCCAAGTCTGTCTACATTGTCCTCTCTTCTTCAGCCCATTTTTTTCTGTGCCTCTGAAGCCTTTTGATTCTTAGACATTTAGGAACATCAGCATATTGGCCTCTCAGATGAGCCTGACTGAATCTTGCAAACTTTAAGAAAGTTACATATAATACTCAGGAGAAAATAAGCTTTTGTTTCATCATGTGTGGAATGTTGGAGGGTGTTCACCTACAATTATTTTATCTCTGCCCCCATGTGTATTTGGACTAAGACCTTATGAGGTTTGGCAAACAAAAGGCTAGCAATGGCCCTTTCTCTTGTGTATGATTTCTAGTCTCTTATTTTGAAGAAAAACCTTAGGGAAATGGTAAGCAAGGCCCAAAGGGAAGGAGAGGCTTATGCTAGAAGTGGGACGCTTTGCCTCTGGAACAGCATCTGTCCTGAGCATGCAGGACTGCTGCCTCACACTCGAAACATTTGCTTTTCATCCAATGAACTCCATGCCCCTTCAGTGGCAGGAAGGGCTTCTGCCTGTTTTCCTAACCAGTTACCCAGGTGGGGATTGGCACTCAGAAACAACTACCAGGCTTCCCTGCTGCTTCTGGGTGTGGCTTTAGGACCAGGACAAGAGTGTGGGACAGCGGACAAGAATTCTTACCCTAGGAAAAGGTGGTGGGAGAGGTGTCCTCTCTCGCTGAACCCTAAGAACCAGAGAAATCTTTGAAGTGATGTCCTTTTTTGATACTGCAGGAAAAACTTTGCTCCACTTAACTACCTTTATTAACTCAGATCTGCACCACATTGCTGCTCACATTCGTGTTTTGTACCTTAAACTAACACTTCCCAAACCCTGAGAACATTCATCTGCTCTTTTTCTTGTTCTTTTTTTATGGCACTAGAGAATGAGGAAATCTTAACTTGAAAAAGACTCTAACTGGTCTGGTTTGATGAATTACTTTACTTCTATCTCCTGAAAAACAAATGGTTTTCTTTCCTAGTGCTATATAAATAGATCTTTAATAAGTGAAACCTTTGCTGCTACATTCCTGGATTTACATAGAATTTTTCCCCCTTAGAAGA